TAATTCATCCTCCACTCTCTAGTCCCCTCAGACTCAAACTCACAGCCATCGAGTCAACTCTGACCCGTGACAACCCAATGGGACAGAGTAGAACTGCACTGCCCCTGGGGTTTCTGAGACGGGAAACCTTTCTGGGAGTAGAAAGCCTCAGCTCGCCCGCCCACTGAGGAGCTGGTGGTGTCGAACTGCTGACCTCCCACTTAGCAGACCAACGTGTAACCCACTACACCTCCAGAGCTCCCTAGTGCCCCCTAGGTAAGCAGCAGAAGAATTTTTTTTTAAAGGCTATCCAAAAACTTCAACCAGTAGCATCCAGCTACCAAGAACCCTGCAAATGACAAGCTGCGGATGAACAACCAGACCACCACTGACTCAGAATGAGTTATAGATACAGCCAAAATCATCTCTCATGGTATTCAGCTAAATATACCTGTACAGCTACCGGCAGAGCTGGGGCTCGGTAACCACGTGAAGAAAGATGAATGACTGGGTGTGGCTTAGAAGAACGCAACAGTCAAAAGCCTGGGGTATTTCTCGTTCTTTAGGAAGAAATGCACTTAACTAGCAGGGTCGTCCCTAGAGCACAAAATGCTGTCTTCAACCTGGTTTCCAAACTGTCTCAGAAGCAACAGCCCCCCACCCCCACTTCACAAGGCCACGGAGCAAGGATATTGGAAGACCTACTTACATGTTGTTCAGGAACATGGATTCGTTGCAGCAACAGACACCATACAGCTCGAAACATTGACATGCAGTAATTGCTTAAGATTTATAAGGCGAGTATATATTTTGGGATTCTCTAGCAGAGATAGTTTACAACATAATTATGGTTGGTGTGGCTTGAAGAATTTCCTCATTGAAGGTGAACTGCGGCGAAATGTTGTATTACTCGTTTACTGCTAATCAGTTCTTTCCAAGAACACCTCCACACAGGTAACGTTCCCTTTGAACCGTGCTGTCATTGCTTTGTCCCGTGGTGTGCCACCAGAAGCCATCACCCAAAGTGGCCCGTCCCTCGGGTGCGCCTGCAGCACACGGGTGGAACATTACACAGGAGAACTTTGATATAATAAAAGTATTGAATGTCTCCGGCCCTCAAGACGAGAGCACCCACTCCTGGTGAACGACAAGGGCCGGAACCAATCGCCAGGCAGAACCCCGATACCTTAGCCAATAAGAACGTGGGGGTGGGGTTAACACTAAGCACCCGGTGACTTCCCCGCACCCCAGGGACCAGGTTGTGGGGGGACTGGGCGGAAACGGAACCCCGAGGATCTCGTTACCCTCGGTTGTAGCTGCTGTCCTCCTCGTTCTCGCAGTCGCTGCAGTGTTCGTGGCCGTTCCCGTTGCCTTCCATCAGCTGTGGCAGCGGAGGTGCCGGCGGCTTCCCTGCTGTCTCACTCTCGTCCGCCATCTTGAGCTGCGAGCGCCCGGCTCTCCGCCCCGCTACATGGGGCGTTCCCATTGGACGAGGGGAAGTCACGCTCGCTTCTGGGTTTTGTAGTTTCCGTGGTTAAGGGAGGCGCCGCCGCTAGGCGCGGCTGAGCCCCTGGAAACGGCACCCAGTGAACTTCAAGCCCCAGAACCCGGGGGGCGGAGTCTGTCCTCCAGACTGGGCGGGGTCGCCACACCCGGAAGCCCGGGGCGTTCGGCCGCGCGTCGAGGAGAGCAGCGCCCCTCCCCGACGTGGGCGGCCGCTTGGCATGCTGGGGGTTGTAGTTCAACCAACGCTGGGTGAGGTTCCCAGGTGTGGCGGCTCCACACTCTTAAGGGTTGACCTCGACCTTCCCTTGCTATTGCCTAGGCCGCAGGTGAGCCGTTATCGGCTGCCGTTAAGGACCGTTACCATTCCCGGGTAAGTGAGAGGGCCGAGAGGGCCGTGGGTGCAACCTGCCCGGAGGCCGAGGGGCTCGGGCCTTCTAGGAGGGGGCTTTCCTGCAAGAGGTCAAGTTGACCCCTGCCCACTTGCCTCACTCCGGGACTCCTGGCAGCCCCTGGCCGCTGGTAATTGGAGACCTCTCCAGAGGCGGTGGATGGTAGCCAGGAAGACCTGACTACTCGGCCAGGCCTTTTCCACTCCTTGCCATCCAGGTACTGGTCTCCTTCACTCAGCCCTTCTGTACACGGACCCTTTTGTGCTACAAAACAGCCCGCCACGTTCCCTTTGACTGGGTCATGCCAGGGATGCCAGGCCCTGGGGTTCGCCTGGTGGAACATGCTCGCTCTTAATCCTCTCAGCATGCCTAGCACGTGGCTGATCTGATTCCCCTTTCTTACAGATCAAGAAATGAGGCCCAGAGAGGTTGATCAGTTGTACAGAGTCACACAGCCAAAATGCTGAAGTTAGAATACAAGTTTGGCTTTATCTGCCCCACCACTACCCCCACCCCCACCCCCACTGCCATTCAGTCCATTCTAACTGGTAAGGACCCCATAGGACAGAGTAGAATGCCTCCCGGGTTTTCCAAGGCTGCCACTCAGTCGCCACATCTTTCTCCCATGGAGCAGCTGGTGGGTCCCAACTACGAACCTTTTCCTTTCCAGGTGAGTGCTTAATCACTGCACCACTAGGGCTCCTTAATCTGTCCCCGTTCTTATTAGTTGCCATCAAATCGGCTGCAACTCCTTGTACAACTGTCCGAAACACTAGCTGGTCCTGTGCCGTCCTTATAATTGTTGGTTTGAGCCCATGGCTGCAGCCACTGGGCCAATGCATTTGGTTGAGGATCGTCTTCCTTTACACTGACCCTCGCTGGGGTTTTCCCAAGCATGTTGGCTTTCTCCAGGACTAGTCTCTTCTGATAGCCTATCCGAGGTACGTGAGTGGAGTCCCGCCGTGGTGTACTCGATATCCCTTATAACCCTGTGAATGCAAAGGCATCTGTTCTTCTCTGCTCTTCCTTATTGATTGCTTTCTGAATCCTTTATCACCACACATGGTCCATTGTCTATACACCTAGCTGCCCAAGAAATCCGTTATTAGAAAGTAATTAGAAAGTAAACTTTTTAATCTACTGTCGCTTCATTGGGCCGCATCCCTGTGGCACAGTAATCATTGACCCGGGTGCTGAAGAGCAATTCCATGATTTCTAAACTTAGAGATGTCCCTATTCAGGTTGAGTGTGGTGGGTGGTGGGGGAATGACTCCTGATCATCAGAAAGCGCTGGGGCCAAAAAGGGAAGTGAGCTAAGCCCTTGGGAACAAGGTTGGGTGGGAAGAAACCGTTCCCATCTGACTCAGGAAACAAAATACAAGTGAAACAGAGCTAAATATAGTCAGCTTCTCTTTTTTTTTGGTATGTGGCGAGAGCAGAAGAAAATATAGTCGATAATCCTCAATCACTTATAGTTGACTTTAGAAGACAGTCAAAGACACCCGCTAGTCTCCCCCCCCACGCTCATCTCCCCAGGGCCAAGACTGCTGTCAACATGATGCCTTATGTGCAGCTTCAGGGGAAGGAGAAGAGGTCAGATAATAAAGTCTTACTTGTGTGAGATGGATTCAACTCTTCTGAGTGTTTTCATCTATCTCGGCTCACATAGCGACTGAAAGAAAATGGCGCTTCCCAATGCAGAGCTGGGGCCACATCTGATATCCTCATTCTCAGCCTTGGTGTGCATGTATGCCCCCCCCCAAACAGAGATCGAATGAAGGCTAATGAGACATGACCAAGGAAAAATGACTCTGGGGAACGAGGACACTGGCTTCTGTGGACCCTCCCATTGTGTTTCAAAGCTTAAGATTTTGTTCGTTTTATTTTTTTTTAATTATTTTATTGGGGGCTCATACAACTCATCACAATCCATACATCAATTGTGTAAAGCACATTTGTACATTCGTTGCCCTCATCATTCTCAAAACAACTGCTCTCCATGTAAGCCCCTGGCATCAACTCATTTTACCCCCTCCCTCCCTGTTCCCCCCTCCCTCATGAACCCTTGATAATTTATAAATTATTTTGTCATATCTTACACTGTCCGACATCTCCCTTCACCCACTTTTCTGTTGTCTGTCCCCCAGGGAGGAGGTTATATGTAGATCCTTGTAATGAGTTCCCCCTTTCTACCCCACCCTCCTGGTATCGCCACTCTCACCACTGGTCCTGAGGGGATCATCCACCCTGGATTCCCTGTGTTTCCAGTTCCTATCTGTACCAGTGTACATCCTCTGGTCTAGCCAGATTCGCAAGGTAGTACTGGGATCATGATTGTGGGTGTGGAGGAAGCATTTAGGAACTAGAGGAAAGTTGTATGTTTCAACATTGCTACACAGCACCCTGACTGGCTCGTCTCCTCCCAAAGCTTAAGATTTTTAAACATGCAGCTGAAGCCTTGTATTGCACTGTAGCTGTGGGGTACCAGCCCCCACGATCAAATGGGTCCAAGGGCGGTTGTGTAACTGAGGAGTAAATTAAAGAGACATCAGACAGGAGAAGGCATGCAAGGGTTTACCTCCAGGTTCACACAGAGACAGAATATATTTCCAATAGAGGCTCATATACTCTCTAGGGCAGTGGTTCTCAACCTTCGTAATGCCTTGACCCTTTCATACAGTTCCTCATGTGGTGGTGACCCCCCCAACCATAACATTATTTTTGTTGCTACTTCATCACTGTCATTTTATTACTGTTATGACTCGGGTGACCCCTGTGAAAGGGGCGTTCGACTCCCAAAGGGTTTGTGACCCACAGGTTGAGAACCACTGCTCTAGGGGCATGCAAGCCCCCCTGAGATTACAGGTAACCACATACCTAACAAAGTGGCCTGTACCCTAACCCTAAGAGGAGTAACCTAACACCAGTGTTGGGGGCAGATAAGGGGGCGTGGCTAGCTTCAGAACCTAGAGAGCAATAGCACATGTCTGCTCCTATATTTAAATCTACCAGCTAGATGGCAATCACTATGTGCTTGTAAGCGGTAGCCTGAAGGTAGCATTATTATGGGAGGATATAGTGGGGAGCAATATTAATTATGAGCATGTGATTGGGACTCATCTCCAACTCACAAGGGTGAAGGCCTCCTTCTAACCCAGAACCCCAGCCTGCCAGGCTTCTTAGTATATGAGAATAAAGGATTCATCCGTATGCCCTCTCTTCCCGATCTCTGCTTCCCACATGTAGCCTGCGCATTTTGGTTTTTAACTGAAAAGCCTTTGGGGGAGGTGAGCAGGCAATCTGGCTATGAATTATCAAGTTCCAAACACAAGGGTAAAAACCAGCATTGTAGGATCGAGCACCTCTGAGACCTGAACAACACCGACACCTTTTCTCTCTCAGGATGCTTCGCTTCTGTTCTCCAGGGCCCACGGTCTCGCTATTAAAAAATTAAATTTATGTTTTTAAAAAGACAGAACACATGTAACCACTTCTTTGAAATGACCCGTTGATCGCTGTGTTTTCGGTGTGCGGTGAAGTGAAATCACTTGGTATGGCTCTACTAGCCATGGCTTTGGTAACCCCCACAAAGGACAAGGTGGGAACACGCAAAGAAGGTGCAGAGGGCTCTAACTTGGGGACTGACCGGTTTTGTCATTCTGTTGGGTACGAAAAGCCATTGCAGAAGCCAGAACAGAGGAAGAACCAGGCGTTAAGGGTGTGGTGATCCCTGGGTGGAGAGGCAGCGGAGCAGCAGCAGGGGATCATGACTGGAGCAGCAGGCTGCCCAGCCCGAAAGAGTATACCGGAGTGCCTTCAGGCAGGAGCCTGGCTTGCAGGGTGGGGTGCCCTTTGGACACATCAGTACTGACGGAGCTTTGTAACACTTGCCTGAGCAGGGCAGAGGTTAAGGGGTCGAAGGACCAGGGAAGGAGATAGGCTACAAGCATGGCTGAAAAGAGATGTTGGGGAACAAACGAAGTTGGCACCCACACCATTTCCCCAAGTGGCCATTTGAGTTTACAGTCATAATAGTACAGAACTACCGCCCCCAATAAGCCATGTGGCCACCTCAATTGGGTCTACAGGTGTTTCCTTGGGGTCCATTAGCTCTCATAGTTGCTCCTCCCCCACTCTTCATGCACAAGAGTCTTTCGGCTTCTAGACAGCCAGTTGGTTTTGCCTTCCAGAGTTATGCGGTGACAGATAAGCCTGCAACATAGTCTACAATTAGCATCCATGTGTTTGTTTTCTCCCAATGCAAACATCCCAGCTTTCTGCACCCCTCGCCACACTAGAGTGGCCGACCTTCTCCCCGACCCCCCAGGGCTCTTCGGACAGCACCTTCTGGCAGGCTTTTCACATGGAGGGCCCCGAGGGTGGCTGAGGGGCCTGCCAGTGGAAGTCTGCAGATTCTGGACGTCTCATACCTCAGAGGCTCATCATCCCTCACCGTTGGGGTTGGAGGCAGTCAGACGGAGTGCAGGTTCCAGAGCCCCTCTCCCTGGTTCTCACTTCTGACTCTGCCTCTGACCTTAACGAGTGAACTCAGGCAAGTCACTTACCCTGCATGTCAGTGGCCTCGTCTGTAAATATAAAATGGGATAATGCATGCAAAGCACTTCGGGACAGAGTCAATACCCAGTTATTTCCTTTCCCAGAAGTCAGCGTTACTACTGTTGATAACCAAAAAAAAACCTTTCTCGTGATGTCTGTCACAGATCCCGGCCACTCCTGTATCTGGCTTATTAGAGACACGGGTAGGAACCAGTAAGCCAGTTCCACGGGGCCTAGGGCAGCGTCCTCTGTCCCCCTCTAACTTCACTGGGGAAAGAAGCATCAAGAGCAACAGCCCCAGGGTGACCCCTTCACCTTCTAACCATTTTCACTAATCCTGACACCCCCTGTTCCTTTCACAGCACTGCTGCTTCTCGGCTGGGTTCAAGAGCTCATTGCCATGGCCACAGAGAACTGACAAACCATACTCAAAGGTATGAAGTTTATTAGGGAATTGTAATAGGTCACAACTCAGGATCCGGAAAGACTTAGGATACTGATCTCTTTGGTTAGGATAGCCTCTACTTGGCCATGCCAACAGGCAAGCAGGCCTCTCTCTTGGCCCTCCCACCACATTGGCCTCTTCCCTGCTCAGCAAGTGTTAGAAGCTTTGTAGCTGCAACCAGTCCATGACGGAAGCACTCCAACCTACAAGTAAGTCTTGGCCCAGAGGCCCTCAGCTTTCTTTCTCTGGGGACCAGGAAGCTCAGGGCACCATCTCATGCTGATCTAGTTCTGCTGCAGTGTGGGAAACAGAAGGATTTCTCCCAAATTGTCTCCCCCAAACATATGCCAAACTTAGCTGCTTGTGAATGACTACACACTTGGAGGTCATCAGAAGTAGATCAGGGGTTATTCTCTCTAAGGATTATCAGCCATCTAGAGCAAGCAGTCACCACTGTTTGTCCCACAAGTATGGCCCACTCCCTTCTGATAAGGATAGTAGTTGTCTGTTTCCTTGTAGTAGACCCCAGAGAGGTCAAGCCCACCCAAGGGTGGCTAAGGTTAGGCCACCATCATGAATCTAGGGTCTGCCCTTCTTGTCACATGTATACCTCTAGTTCCTCCCCTTCCTATCATGTGTACAGCCCTAGCTCATCCCCTTCCTGTTAC